ATCACATGTGCTGCCTATCTCAGCCTGCCCCAAAGACCTTTCTCCCTTTTGTTCATTGGCCAAACTTCACAGAGCAGTTAAAAATATATATGTGCTGGAGCCAGATTGCCAAGTTCAAAGTTTGGCTCTGCTACCTTCTGCCCTGGATCACTCCCTTTCGTTCATTGGCCAAACTTCTCAGAGCAGTTAAATATATACGTGCTGGAGCCAGACTGCCAAATTCAAAGTTTGGCTCTGCTACCTTCTGCCCTGGATCAATCTGGGCAGTTTTCTCAGTCCTCTCCTCTATTCACTAATCTGCAAAACAGAGATAACGATTGCTTCTACCTCATAGTTGTTGTGTTGTTGTTTTTTGTCTTGTCTTACTGTTAAATAAATTAATCCATGTAAAGCAGAACATCACCTGGCACATAGTAATTTCTCAATAAACTTAGCCATTACCATCAATAGGTCATTAGATGCCAACTGCATGCTTGTACCAACTCCACTTATCATCTGTGCTATTGTTCACTTAATCTTATTTCATTTTATCGGACTCATTTTTTTTTTTTACATTTAGATAATGTGATTATTAAAATAGAAAGTCAGTATCACTTGCCATACAGAGAACATAAGTGTGAAAATGAGAACCATGGAAATAAAAGAGGTGTCACCAAATTGTAGCCAGATACTCTGAGCTTTATGTTTGACCTCCCAGGTCAAACAAAAGAGAGAAGAGCAAATGAGAAAAAGATGATAAAAGCCCTTGAGCATCAAACAAAGAGGCCCTCCTGACCAGACCAGAGGCATGGAAACAGAACGGGGAGGGAACGACCTCCCCACGGAGGGCCCCTCTGTGTGTGACTGTGGGGCGTGGGCCACCTAAACTCACCAGGCCTTCTACCTGGAGGCAGGCAATTTGCCACCGGGATTGAGATTCTCACATTTCTTTTGTCAATTTTGCTCAGGAGAAGTATTCACTATTGAGGAAGCATGCCATGACAGTCTCTGTGAGCTGGCTCTGAGGGCACAGGGGGACAGCGTCGGGGTCCTGGCCCCTGGGGACCATGACAGCTACCAGTGCTGTACCTTCAGTGGAGTCAGGACTCAGGGAGGCAGCCGCTGCTTGCCTTTTCTCACTGAAGGAGTCAACAAAACAACAGGCGCAGAAGTCACGTTGGCAGTAAGCATGGGCACTTAAATAGCATTCCCAGTGTGCCAGCCACTTTCCATTATTAATTCGTTTGATCCTCAAACAACCATGTGAGGTTGATACTGTTATACCCATGTTTCAGATGAGGACATGAAGGTGTAGAGAGTTTAAAAACTCATCTGAGATCATGAGCAGTGGCAGAATACACAAGCCCGGAATTTGTGTTCTTAGCTACTACGCAGTTAGCCCCAGGCCTGGCACGTGGATGTAAGACTCTGTACGGGCTAGCATTTCATAACGGTTGTGTGTGTGCCCACGCATGTATGTGAAGTGTGCATGTATGTCTCCCTGCTGAGAACTATAGTTCATGTATTCTTCAGAACGACCCTGCGAGTTAGCCTGGGCGTCTCCATATGTCAGTGACCAGTTCCTGCAAATCACATGCTCTGCATTTTAAAATGCTGCTTATGGCTCTGGCCAGTATTGCTCAGTGGTTATAGTGTAGGCCCACGCACCAAAGGGGCATGGGTTTGATTCCCAGTGAAGGGCATGTACATGGGTTGTAGGTTTGATCCCCGGCCAGGTTGGACACGTGTGGAAGGCAGTCAATATATATCTCTCTCCCACCCTCCCTTCCATTCTCTCTAAAAATCAATGGAAAAAAATATCCTCAGATGAGGATTAACAACCACAAAAAAGGCTGATTAGGAGTCTACTTCCTTTTGTTTCCAATAGGAAACAATTACAGTGCACAGCACTTCAGTCACAAACACCGAATTAATTTCCTCAGAATAATTAAAGCTCAGTGAAAAGCCTATGTTATAAAACACAATCACATCAGGATATAAATCCTTAGAGCATGGCTTCCTGATCACCCAACAGTTATCTTATTGCTACCAAGCAGTTGTTCTGCATTCAGTAACCCTGTGATGGCTCACTTGTGGCAGAGCCTCCCAGATGACATTCCACAGAACATCTCCCCATGGCTCTGACAGCCAACCAATTTGTTGTGTTTCGAATATAACATGAGACTTTGTTCACACTTCATTTTCTTAAAATCCCACTGAGTTTTGCAATTGTAAATATAAATGATATATGAATATAGCATTTATTATAGATAATATATATTTAGAAATATATGTTTATAATTTATATAAATATCAGCCAAAAACATTATACAGAGTTTGGGTGCTGAAAACCTGTAGGCATTCTACTGGGAAAATGTTAAGGAGAAGACTTACAGTGAAGATGCATGTACTACTGGCATCTCCATTTTACAGGTGAGAATACTGAGGATTAGCTAGAAGCGATGGAGTGGGATTTGTACTTCAAACTTCTCTGACTTCAGAGCCTTCAATTTTAACCACTATGCTATAGTATCTGTCATCCTCATATATAATTTAACTTTTCAATTACAGTTGACATACAATATTATATTAACTTCAGGTGTACAACCCATGATTAGACATTTATATAATTTACTAGTGGCCCAGTGCATGAATTCATGCACCGTGAAAGGAATTGTGCGTCGCCAGCCTGTGGTTGGCACGGATGGGTCTCGGCCCATCCTCTGTGCCCCCGCCCGGCCGCTCTCGCTGCGGCCTCTGGTTTCCTCTCTGCCAGCAGCCCTGCTCCTGCTGCATCTGCTCCCACATGCTGATGGCACCAGCCCTGCTCGCACCTGCTGATGGCACGGAGTGATTGGGGCTGGCGCCAGCAGTGGGTGAGAGCGGGGCCAGCGTCAGCAGTCGGTGAGAGCGGGGCCAGTGCCGTCAACAGGTGTGAGCGGCGGCTGCTGCCCCGATCACCCCTCAGGAGCAGGGGGAAGTGGAGAAGCCCTCAGGGGTGATCGGGGCCATCAGCTGCCACTCACACCTGCTGACGGCGCCGAGTGATTGGGACCAGCACCAGGTGCCGGCTGCGGGTGAAAGCGGGGCTGGCGCTGGCAGTGGATGCGAACAGGGCCATCACCGGCAGCAGGTGCAAGAGGCAGCTGTTGGCCCCAATCACCTCTCAGGACCAGGGGGAGATGGAGAAGCCCTGAGGGGCGATCGGGGCTGGCAGCCGCCAGCTTGTACCTGCTGAAGACGCTGGGTGATTGGGGCTGGCACCAGGTGCCGGCAGCGGGTGCAAGTGGTGACTCTGGAACCCCACCTTGGTCTGGTGCCCCCTCTCACCTGCTCCACCATTCCGCCGTGGCCGATGCCCGCCATGTTCCGTGCTCTGCCACCTGCTGCCAACACCCACCATGTTCTGCGCGCACCCCCTGGTGGTCAGCACACATCATAGTGACCGGCTGTTCACTTGTTCAGTTGTTCTGCCATTCGGTCTATTTGCATATTAGGGTTTTATATATATAGGTGAAGTCATCACCCCGATAAACCTAGTACCCATTTGACACCATACATAGTTATTACAATATTATTGACTATATTCCCTATGCCATATTCTACATCTCCTGATTATTCTGTAGCTATCAATTTGTACTTCCAAATTCCTTCACCATTTTTGCCACCCTCCCAAATCTCTTCCCCTCTCTGGCAAGTGTCAAAATGTTCTCTGTACCTAGGAGTCTGTTTCTGTTCTGCTTATTTGTTTATTTTGTTTTGTGGATTCCACCAAAGTGAAGTCATGTGGAATTTGTCTGACTTATTTCACTCAGCATGATACCCTCCAGGTCTATCCCTGTTGTTGCAGATGGCAGGATTTTATTCTTTTTTTTTAAAAAAATATTTTATTGATTTTTTACAGAGAGGAAGGGAGAGGGATAGAGAGTTAGAAACATCGATGAGAGAG